TCATCAATTTCGATGCAAGAGAAATGAAATTCGCGAAGTCTGGTTTCTAGACATCTTAATGCACCCTCCACTGGGACATTGGTGAATAATGATTTTACATCAAAAGAAACCATGAGTAAATTACTAGGAGAAATGTTTTTAACCTTTTTTACAAACTCTATTGAATTTTTTATGGTGTAAATGTTATTGTCTAATAGAGTGGAAAATCTAGAAACTAAATATTTAGCTAAATGGATACGAGGCAGTACCTAAATTTGATACAATAGGGCGGAAAGGAATATACCTTTTATGAATTTTGGGAAGAGCATATAATCTGGCACAATTCGCAACAGATGGGATAAGCGAATGTTTTAAGTTGGCTTGAAATGATTTGCGAAGATTTGATCGCAGTTTTTATTTTGGATAAGTCCGAAGGTGAAGGATCTTTAGGGATCGGATTATATGGTCCTTCGTTTAAGAGTTTAGTGACACCATCGATGTAAGTGTTCTTATCCATGACGACTATCTGGCCACCTTTGTCGGCCTTTGAAATGATAATATCCGGGTTAGAATGAATTTCGCGCATTGTAGCTCTTTCTCTCGCAGTTAGATTTGGTTTCAAAGGTTTATTATTGAATTTCACATTATGAGCGATAAGATGCCTAATCATTTCTTTCTGTGAATCTGAAACTTTACTGAACTTGAAAGCTTTTTCGATAGGAGCCAAAATCTTTGGAATCGAGGGTTTACAGGTTTGTGAGAAGTTAAAATTATATTTTAGAATTCTCTCTTGTTCTTCTGAAAGACTAACATTAAATATTAACTATTGGCTTGATGTTTACAATGGGAAGATTTTTTGACTACTTAAGTTGGATGGAATTTGATCCTGCTATCAGTTCACTTTTGAACTTGAGACTTGCAATTCTCTTCCGTTTCTCGACATTCTGGTCACACGTAACACATCCAACTTCAGTTACTCTGTTTACCTTCCACGGCACTTAAAAATCATGTCATCCGACTAAACAAAAGTTAGCTTCATTTTATTCCTATGTTTTCCGTGCTCTTCAAGTTTGCTCCTCCAAACTAGCCCTTGATGAAGAACTAAATTATTTAAAAGCAATAGCTATTGACAGGGGCTTTTCACCCAACATTATTAATCAAGCAGTTAAAAAATTCTCATCTCAACACACTAAAAGGCACACTCTTGTTTTAGGAGATTATAAAAATTCTGTTGTCATTCCCTTCATTTCCATCAATTAGCTATAAAAAATTGCACATGTATTTTGCAGAAATTTAAATTTTGGGTTGTTTATTCTCCAATCAATAAAATTCCAAGTTCCATACTCAAGGATCCCATTCCGGATATGAATTCCTGGGGTTATAGGATTCCCTTGCCAGTATGGATTTAATTTACATTGGCCAAACTAAGAGAGCCTTAAAATTTCGCGTTAAGGAACATGAGCATATGTTAGAAAAAAGGAAACACAGAAGTCTTCTGTTGCTCAACATTGTTGGTCCGAAAATCACACTTTCAATTTTTCTGCAGCCAAAATTATTGAAAAACATCTTCCATTGGTGAACTAAATTTTCTAGAGGCTTTTAACATTCAAAAAAATCTTTCTGTTCTAGTTAATGACCCTAATTCCAATTCATCTTTGCCTTCAGCCTTTAAGGAAATTATGTTTTAGTTCTTGTTTCATCAACAGATGGCGCCAGTAGCTTAACTCCTGTCCAGTCTTTATCTTCTAATAAGCTGTATCGTATCTTTTTCATTTGCACTTTAGCAGCTGAGTATGATGGTTTGATAAAACCATCGAAACTAGTCCTGTGAAAATTCGAAAATATAACACTGATTTTTGTTGTTTGACTTCTAAATTAACACTTTTCAAAGGTTTGTTGATGAGGTGACGAGAGGCTTAAACTGTGTATATGCATTTATTGATGATATTTTGATTGCCTCAAGAAGCAACAAAGAGCATATTAAACATCTACGAAATATCTTAAAAAGATTAAATCATTATGGTTTAGCAATCAGACTTCCTGTGAGTTAGAATCAACCCTGTTCTGAGTTAGTCTGCAGTACAACTGTAAGGCTGCCTTTGGACATCTTGTTTCAGCTTTCTTCTCCTTCCCTGACACAAACATATTTTAATTGTTTATGATGTATAATGCAATCTCTGACTCCCAAATCAACAACAAAACAGTGCTCAGAACCTGTTCACATTCGTCCATCCTTAAAATCTTGTTCTCGTGTTTATTTGAAAACTGACTCAGTCAAGCCTCCTCTTCAACAGCCATACTCAGGTCCTCATCCTTTCACTGAGGACATGACAAAACTTTTATCATCTCCATGTGCAGTAAGAATCAAACTGTTTCAAATGATCGATTCAAACCTGCATATTTTATTAGTGGTAAAACTAGTCCATAACACTAAACATTCTAATGAGACGGACACATTGAAGAATACCATGTCAGCTATCTGTAGTCTTTAATCCGGACTCGTCGGGACTTCAGCGATTCCAGATTATCGGTTTCTCCGGATTATAGATCATCAATTTAAATTTGGTAAGATGGCATGCAGAAATTATAAAATTAAAAATATGAAACCGTAATTTATGAAATAAAGAGCAATTATGATCTAAAGGGTATCAAAATTTGCAAATAAAAGCTTAGTATTTATTTGTTTACTTTATTAAACATTTCTTTCAACGCGCGCATGCGTAAAGCATACATTACGCATAGTCGAAATTAGAAAATTGCAACCAGAAAACTATTTGATGTGTATTCGTGATATTTATAATGACGAGGAATTTGATTTAAATCATATCAAAGACAGAGTACATAGAGATGAAATACTACATTTAGTAAGGAATTATAAGCTGAATAAAATAAAAACATCTCCACAACTACTGAAGTGGCGAAAGGTACAGCCAACGTCAATACAATGTAATCAGTATATTGTTGGCCAAAATGTGCATTCCTATGCAGTAGGTATTTGAAAATAGCATGCCGAAAACTGAGTTCATTTGGAGAAAAATAACTTCTACTGCACATCTGCTTTTTCCTGGGTATTATATTCTCCATTGCTTAACTTTGTAAGGAAAAAAATAATAATGCGAGTAGCTAGATTTTGGATGTTTGGTGTTCCGGACTTTTATATGCTTTCTCTGTAGTATTTTTATATGCTTTTGCTCACATTTTGTGTACTAAGCAAATTTTGATAAGGAAACTTTACGAAAATAAAATTTTGGATTAGTTTTTAATTTATTCTTTACACTGATATTTAGTTTTCACACTGATAATGAAGAAATGAGATATCTGAGAGTTTGAATATGTCTTAAATTTTTGAATATGTCTTAAATTTGAAAGACAGTGATAGGTACTGAACAGTCAAATTATAAAGATCAGAGATTTGCAATATACAGTGTGAATTTAAAATATTATTTGCATAGCACCAAAACAATGATTGTCTGAACTCACTTAAGAAAACAAGTAAAAATTTGGCACGCATTTGGTATTAATAAAAATAAGAGTAAAAATTTGACAGGCATTTGGTATTAATAAAATTAAGAATGTCCTTTTTAATACAATTTAAAATTTCAAAAAATAATGCGCAAAACCTTAAGAATAGCAATCATTTGGTGGAAAGGTATTAATTTCTATGCATATGTTGTGATTTCAAAACTCAAAATGATTTGTGCCGATTTTTGTAAATAATGGCCTAAAATTTAATTAAGTGTAATTTTTATTGCTTTGATATCTGAAATGAAACATTTATCAAAATTGGTAATAATTCTTTTTGTTTTGCAAAATTATTAGAAAAATATATACATGAATTGGTTTCATAAATCAAGGGCAAATTAAAAATGAAACGAGTATAAATGGAAATTTCGCTACCAATGTCAGTAAAAATCTTAATGGATTCAAAATAATTAAACAAAAGTAATAATAATTACTAATCATTAGTGTAATTCCCTCCATAGGCTTGAATTATTTAAAAACATGTGCTCAATATAAAATTTTCATGGAAATCTGTCATTGATTACATTGTAAACAAGAAATTACTTGGAATAATGTTGAAAAATGTGTTTAATTTTTCAAAGAAAGTATCTTGCATTAATAAACTTTGTGAAGCAATATTTTGGATAATAATAGTGAATGAGATCTTAGTCCATGTTTAAATAAAAAAGTGAAATTTTTAAATATTTGAATAAAAACATACTGATATTATATCTTTTGTTTCATTATTAGTTGTAGTGATTTGATTGATAAAGGTAATAATACTAATTGTAAGTGTAATTAGCTGATTAATAAAACATTCTTTATTAATTAAATACCAACATTCATTTAGAAACAGCAGTTTATTTGTTATATGCTTAATAAAATTGTAATAAAAATTTGAAATGTTTTACAACTTAGAATTCAGATTTTTAAAGTAAAAAATTTTTGATTAGTTTATGGCTTGCTATTTCTGTATGCCTCAGAAAATATTGATAAAGTACCATTAAGGTGGATTTTTTGTGGAAGAAAAGGATGGCTGCATCCATATTTTCATGGCTTTTCTGCTTGTTAATGAAGATAAATCCACTTGATTCTATAAAGGTTCTTCATAAAGACATCCCTCCTTACTCTCTCTGAGTTTACCATGACGTATGTTTTGGGGATGAATTAAGCATCAAGTTGTATTTAGCAATGATAGTTTTTAAAGGGGTTAGTTGCAAACTTGGACTAAGAAAGCTTATTTAAATACCACTTGTTGTAATGATTATCTAGTTTGAATAGATAGATACAATTTCATTTTTTCCACTTTTAATAATTCAAAGCCTTACTGTATTAGCTTTGGTAATATGTATGTCCAATGTCACAGATAGTATGTGAAGTTTTAAATCAGGAGAAAAATATATCTAATGCCAAGTTGTATGCAAGATATTTCTTTCGTTTATTTTCTTATTTGTATATTAGCAACACTAAGTACAAAATATTTATTTGTAGTGCTGTGCGTAATATTTTTCATTAATCTCTTTATTTCTTTACAGTGATGATTCTCAATTAACTATAGAGATAGAGGTAAGATGTTTTCTCTTAGCCTTCAAACTAAGTAGTTAAAATTTGTTATATTTATCTTAGTGTAATTTTAAAATGCATATTCATTAAAATTAAAATAACTGCTGTTATTTTATATTGTATTAATTGCTCTTTCATTGTATTATGCATTCTTTTTCTACTAAAATTTGTTTTGCAGTATAATTTATTGTATAATTATATAATCTCAGTATAATATATTATATAATTCCATAATTTTTGGACTTCTGACAAAATTACTGGGTTTAAAGTCATGAAAAAAGTAAGGTAAATGAAATTTTCTTATATTGTATTGTGTACACTCTGTTCAAAATGCAGTAAGTAAAAGTAATATTCTTAAGTACGAGTTGTGTTCTAAAAAAAACTGAACTTTTGCTTTGTAACATCTTCATTGATTATTTTACAACATTTAAGCACAGTTCCCCTCAAAGTAGTCCCCTTTTTTTGGCAATACACTGTTCCCATCATTTCTTCCGTTTATGGAAAGCCTGGAACAAACTTTCTGGAATAGCACATAAAACTCTTGTTGCATTGTCCTGAATCTCCTGTATGGTTTGGAAATGACATCCTTTCAACATGGTTTTCAGTTTGGGAAACAGGAAAAAGTCAGCGGGGGGGGGAGGGGCTAGGTCTGGAGAACACAATAGATGGGACACATCTGGAGTGTTGTACTAGATTTTTAGGGATGAAGAGACACACATGAGCCAGCGCATTGTCATAATGCCACATGCAGATCTGGTTTATCTACAATTGAGGCTTCTTGTGCACAGCATCTCGCAAATGCACTAGACTTCTCTTTACCATTTGATCATGTGGTACAAATTCCTGATGGACTGTGATGAGGGTAACACGCCAATAGATGGCAGCACTAGTTTTCTCTTTTTCTACTCTGTGACATGACAGAATGTTTTTATTATTATAACAGTTTATGATGTAATAATTTTTCATGATTAATTTATAAGTCGTTTGGGATTCAATATTATGTTCATGGAGGAATGGGGAGTTTACTGACTCTGCGCTAGGACTGAATGCAAGTATATTAGTTTAATTTATTCTTTGTTGTAACTCAGCTCGAGTTTCATTCGTCTGTGTGTAGCTAAAATTTTATTTCAGCACTTCATCCCTTTCCAAAGAGAAAGACTCATCGATTTCAAAATTGCCATCTGGGGTCAAAACTTTACACAATTGTGGGGGTTAAATGTGGGCATGTTAGCCTCCAAAAGACACCCGTTGCTTCGTGTTTTCCAAAATCCTAGAATGCAGGGAAAATGAAAAGAGGTGATTGACAACTAATTTGTCATTTCAGGAGTCACGCGCCTTCTTCCCTTTGTGAGGTGTGATAAGATCACACAAAAGGGAAAGCTCACTTAAAAAACGGGAAATGAAATGCACTTAAGGTCCATCTCATAATGTAATCACAAAAACTGCTGTTTTGAAAGCATGCTTTTATTCTTTAGGGAAATTCTTTTTAGTTCTTTGTTAATTTCAGATGAAAGACTAGAGAACACAAGAGAAATTTGCGCTCTGGGTTAGGATACAAATAGGTTGTTTTTCCGAAATAAATTTTCACAGTTGGTGAAAGGAGGAAAATATTTCTAAGGCCCGTTTTAGATGCAAACTAAAATGTATCCAAAAGTTGAAAAGGAGCTCCCTATGAGGCCAAAGGGATTGAAAATCAGAATAAGAGCTTTGAGGTTATCAAGTAATAAAATTGTTTAACGGCATTTCTTCCTGAAAAAAAGATATATATATATATATATTACAAACTATACAAAAAATAAAAAGGGACCCTTAACGGTCCTCGATGATCTAAAAGGGGGGCGGGATCTTCGTATACTGTATGAAGCATGGTTTTTTCACATATTAGCTAAAGCAACTTCAAAAATAACATAGTCGCTCGTCTCTAGTCGTCGTAGTGCTTTTTTTTTTTAAATTTTCGAGCATCTGCTTGTAATATATATAGTTCAGTTACAGCATGATAGGATTTACACATGCAGTGTTATATTTGCTAAATTTTTATAAAATAATATTGAATTTAAATCAGTTGAAAAGCTTTTTACCCATATTTTACATAAGTATGTTCAGCTGGGTTGCATCATCAAAGTGCATAAAAACATAAATTTTATTTTTAAAAATTTTTAATTTCTGCCGAAATTAAAAAAAAATTTGTCTTAGACTTACAATAACTGTATTCAAGCACTCATCACTACAGACGCACATCAAAAGTATGCAAAATTAATTAAAAAAAAGCAGAGGGCCACCGCGAGCGGTAAGGCTCGCGAACGGCTCCATAGGTTTTTCGTGAACAGGTGTATGCATGGGCGTTTTTTCCCTTTCCCCTGTAAACGTGTCCCTAGGCCATCCCTCCCCTTTAGCCTCCAGAATAAGCCCTTGGCCCAAATCACAACACACACACATAATTTAAAAAACGAAGATTAACAGTTGGCAGCTAACTGGAAAAAAATGTCCTAGAGGGGTGCCGGTATAAAATATATACCGGCTCTCAAAATTTAGGATTTCGCTCTAGATTTTTTTGAAGTCTCAATTTTGTGTCCTTAGGGTCCATAAGTCATAGTTCATGCAAAATTTTACCACAGTTTAAATTATCTTATATGCCGCCCCTCAAAGGGTTAAAGGGAAGGTTAGGAGTACTCTATAGTTTTATGGTCTTTCGCATTAAGAGGTATGAAAAAAAAAAAAAGAGAGAGAGAGAGAGAGAACTGCTGCTTTAGAATGAGAAGCTAAACTTGCTCTATCCAGTTGTTGTGGGAACCAATGCATATATTTGTATGAAAAATAAAGGCTTCATGTTTGTCAATCAGCTGTAAATGTCTTCTTGCAGAATATTATTTGATTTGTTTAATATCTTTGGCTTCTGCATTCAATAGTTTGCAGATGAAAATAAACAATTGTGCAGATTCTGTTTCCTAAAATGAGTAATAGTATTGAAAGTTTGCTACCTTCTGAAATTTAAGAAAAATGGCAGTTGCAGAAAATGTTGTAAATGAAGGCGATGCCAAACAGTTTTATTAAATGTGGTACTGAGCAATAGATAGTGCACTAAAGTTGAAAATCTGCGTATATATCTATATAATATGATATATCAAAAAATTTTCTACTGTGTTGGTATGAATATCATTACCAGATAAAGGCTAATATTAGTTTAAGAAATATTTGTTATAACAGTTGTAAATTATGTACTGGTTATTTGTGTTACTGCTTTGTGCATGCTACCCTCTTCTGAAAGTTTTAGCATTCAAGAGATAAGAAAAAAATACCAAAGTAACGCTTAAAATTATTCAAAGCAGTAACTTTGTATTTCACGTAGATCTTAATTGAAATTCTACAGATTTTGAGGGTGAACAGGTACAAGTCTGTTTTCATGAAGGGGGTGGGAAGAAGTGGTAAGACAGCTTTGGTCAGATTCCCCCCCCTCTTGACAAAGAGGGACTTATACCTATTCACTCTCAAAATCTGTAGAATTTTAGTTAAAATCTATGCCAAACACAAGGTTACTGTTTTGCCTGATTTGAAGTGATAGCAATGTATCTTGTCTGTGAAATTTTTGAGAATTTTTATTGTTTACCTTGGGATTGTCCCACAAATTACGAATCCTTCCATTCTAGTTACCTGTGCTGAATGCCATATGCGATCTAAATTTCCCATAGACACTGACGTGTAAATTCTCATCCCACATTGCACCTTTGTTGTCCAGTTTTCTGTAGGAAAAAGAAAAACAAGACAGATCTGTTAAGGTCACTCAAATATCTGAACGATAAAGCTTGCTAATTTGAGAATATGTATTACTGATCTCTGCAATAAAATAGCATTTGTAATATTAATTTTTAAATCATCTTGAAACGTCTGTTGTCATGTGCTTTTATGATCAGTATTATAAGATAAATATGCTTTGGTGAGCGTAATTTTAAAACCAAAGATACGTTTACTTGGTGTAAGCAGCATTTCCCAATTAGTCTGTGTCTAAGAGGCAAAAACAATTTCCAACGCTTAAGAAACGTAGTGTATTAAGCTCCTGAATTCTGCAGTCTTCGATGTTCAGCTATATAAATGATCCCAAAGGCTACCTTTACCATTTCAGCCATGAACATGACTATGATGAGTAAGGAACATAAATTAACATGGGAAATTCTGAACAAATGCAGTATTTGCTCCTGTTGATTGCATGGCAGATATATCATCAGATATGTCAGAAAAATTTCAATAATCATATTTATGTCATGGCAGTGCATTCTATTATAAATTTATATTCAATTAACATATCACTCAGTATTATTGTATATTAGTGTATTTCTTGGTGATCCTTAGTAATTTATTGAACATTGAATTGTACATTGTAATAGGCCATTTTCTTTTGACATGCTTTACTGCGGAGAAAGATCTTCCTGTTGAAGGTATGCGTGGTTCATTTGTTTACTATTGCAACTTCACTAATTCGAGGCGAGCAAGTAAATGAAACAGAATTAAAGTTCTTACCTTAATAAAGTGTAATCCATGCTGCGGATGTAAGGAACATGATCATTATTAGCACACAAAATAACATATTTATTAGGTATAAGAAGGAAAAAAATATCTAACGATGATTACAAGCATAGTTTACTGTCCATTGTATAACGTGAAAATGAATCATGCAAGGAGAGAACATTTCTTCTTCTTTTTGGATCAAGTCCTATTCCAGTTAGCGGAGGCGAGGATATTAACGTCAGAGGGTGCAGCTTCATCACTGTCGTTATGAATTGCTCCACAATCTCCCACTCGATGAGCTGTTTCATCTGGAGTAAAGGCCAATTCCTTTTAACAAAAATTCCAGCTGTTCGTATGGGTAAAGGTTTTGTGAACATGTCTGCATACATCATTTTGCTGTAGCAGTGTTTGTAATTTAACAATTCCTTGATTTTTGTAGATCACATATGTAATGATATTTCACATTGATGTGTTTGGTATAACTGCTCCCTTTTTCTTGTCTG